TAACTACATTTAAATACAAAGCTAACAAAAAATTGAAAGAAATTAATATAGAACAACAAAAATTTAGTGTGTTAAGAAGCACTGAACAGTTAAAGTATTATAGAAAACATTAAAAGCGAAAATCATAATGTGAAGCTTCCTAAACTTACGATTCCGAAGTTTTATGGCGAGAGCTGCGAATGGCTGACATTTTGGAACACTTTTTCATTAGCCATACACCAAAATAAAACGCTTGACGCTATAAGCAAATTTAATTATTTGAAATCCCTTTTGGGAGGTAATGTTTATAACACCATTGACGGTTTCGATTTAACCGAAGAAAATTACGAAACTTCAGTTAAACTCCTCACAGAAAGATTTGGAAATAAAGATGTACTACTAAACGCCCATATAGACAAATTACTGAAAATAAGACCTCTAAAGGATTCTAATGACATTCAAAATTTCCAATTACATACAAAATTAAAAGTTATTCAATTACATACAAAAACATATTCGATGTCTTGAATCATTAAATATGACCTCAGAAACATATGGAGCACCCTATTTTGCTTAAAAACATTGCCTGCAGATTTGGTTTTGGAATATAATAAAACACTTCGAAAATAAAATTACGATTTGAATCACCTAGTGGAATTTCTTTCTCAGCAATTAATTGCAAGGGAAAAGCTTTGCAATCGAAAGAAGCACCGTCAATTTCTCCTCATACAACCCCCTCCCCCGACAAACAAAACGCGAAAGCAAGCTGTCAACTTGGCATGATAAACGGGTACCAGATGTATCGTCTGCCTCGCAGTTGCTGTCTACAAATGAGAATCAAAATTATAAACATTCAAACTGCATATTTTGCGATTCAGATCATGAAAGTTATGAATGTCGGAATGCGAGTCGTTTAACCTTAGATGAAAAAAAGCAAAAATTGCTGAATCACGGATTCTGTTTTAAATGTTTGAAACGGAACCATATTTCCCGCTTATGCAAAACCAAAGTTAAATGTTCCATATGCGGTAAAGCTCATTTGTCAATAATGTGCAACTCTCACGGAAATAATTCTACAGACATTATTGGGGATGAAAATAATAAAAAAGACTGTGTTCTGACAAATAAATCTTGCATGCAGTTAGTAAATTTGCAAACTTTAATATTAAAACTTCGTGGGGATGGGATCGAAAAATATGTGAGAATTTTAATAGATAGTGGTTCCCAGCGATCCTACATTTCGAAGTATGCAGTTAGTATAATGAATTATAAAACAAGTGGTAAAGAAGAATTAATCCATGGTTTGTTCGGAGGAATTGAAAAGAAAGAAACTCATAGTAAATATTTAATTAGATTGAGTAGTCTTAAAGGTGATTATCACTGTAATTTTCAGGTTTTGGATCAGGATAAAATATGTACTGACATTCCTCAAATTCGTAGAGATACATATCTTATTGAACTGCGAAAACATGGAATTTAAACTGACATGCAGAATAAATCTTTGATTTGATGTATGAAAAATCACCTTTAAAAATTCATGTTCTTTTAGGTGCAGATGTGGCAGGAAAGCTTCTAACAGGGAAAGTTAGACAACTAAAATGTGGGTTATCATGCGTACACACTAGATTAGGATGGACAATGATGGGGAAAAATGAAAAGCGTGAGTTCTCTGACAGTACGAAAACTGTATTGTGTCACTTCATGTTAATGATGCTAAAATTTTTACGGATTTAATGGTGATGCTTGGACTCGTTAGGGATAACGGACTCTGCTACAACCCACACAAGAAAGGAAATTAATGAAATCGCTAAAACATAATTTTGTCAGTCATTAAAGAGAGATAGTGAGGGTAGATATCAGGTCTCTCTTCCTTGGTTAGAAGGGCATGAGGTTTTACCTGACAACAGATTATTAGCAGAGAAAAGGTTAAAATCCTGCATCAAAAATCTTCAGTCAAAAAACTGTCTGAAAGAGTATGAAAATATTTTTAGCAAATGGGCTGAAAAAGGTATTATAGAATCTGTTGAAGATAAGAAAACCGAAAATTGTCATTACCTACCGCATCGGGCTGTAATTAAGGAAAGATTAGAACTGTGTTCGATGCCTCAGCGAAGGAAAGGAATGGTGTGTCCTTAAATGACTGTTTAGAAAAGGGTCCAAATTATTTGGAATTAATACCGAGTATTTTAAACAGATTTCGCCTAGGTAAATACGGGGTTATCTCAGATATACGTAAGGCCTTTTTGCAAATAGGTGTCTGTCCTCGAGATAGAGACTTTCTTAGATTTCTCTGGTGGGAAGAAGGAGATTCCGAAAAATTAAAAATATATCGACATAAGTGCATTGTGTTTGGCGTTATGTCACTTTTCTTGTCTTTAAAGATAGTTCGTGAAAACAGCCTGTCAAAAAATATAATTGTCAAATAGTACACAGGATTTTGAATTCGATTGGTTTTACAGCTCCTGCACTCTGATTCCTAAGCTAATGCTTCAAGAATGCTGGAAACAGTAGATTTCATGGGATAACAATTTACCTAAAAGCATTTCTGACAAATTTGAAAGTTGGAAAAATAAATTGCACAATTTGGAAAAAATAGCTATACCCAGAAGAATTTTTTTGCTGACTCCGATTTATCTTATGATTTTCTTATTCCGATTTATCTTATTCTTATTACGTGTTTCGTGACTCGACTGCATATGCTCCGTTAGCTGCTTGATCCAGAGTTGGTGCTTTAGACTAGCACATCGTGTTAAGGAAGATTTGAGACTAGAAAGCTTGCCTATTTATTATTGGAGTGATTCTATGGATGCATTATTTTGGATAAAAAAGAATGAAAACCGGGCCGTTTTCGTTCACAATAGAGTGAAAGAAATCCGTACTCTAAGTAATCCAAACGACTGGAATTATATTCCTGGAACACTAAATCCAGCTGACCTCCCTTCCCGAGGATGCAGTCCGGAAACCTTAGTCAAATAGAAATGGTGGGAGGGTCCCGATTGGTTGAGAAATGATTCAGAAAAATAGCCTACCTCTGAAATTGTACTGAATTTTGACATTATAAATGCTGAAAGAAAGAAGACAAAATTTCTGCAGTTAATTCGAATGCTATGACTGAAGTTAATTTTGATAAGATTTCTTCGTACAATACCATTCTAAAGATAATATCTTGGATCTTCCATTTTGTTAAAAATGTCAGACTAAGTCCTAATGATAGAACTTATGGAACAATTACAGCGGAAGAAATTAAAGGAGCCGAACTAACTCTTTTGAGATTAGTGCACAGCAAATCATTTTCTGGATTAGATGACAAAAGATTACGTATACTTCAACCAATGATTGATTCTAACAGAATCCTTAGGGTTAAAACCAGAATTCTGAGAAGAGATGATGCAGAAAATTTTCGAGTTTCTATTATTCTTCCTTCAGATCATCCTATTGTAGTAAAATTAATTAGAGCTAAACATGAAATGAACAATCATGCAGGAGTACAATTTTTAATATCTGCTTTATGAGAACAATATTGGATTTTGAAAACACGAAAGACTGTCAAGAAAGTCATAAGAAGCTGTGTTGTATGTCAGAGGTTCGATACTAATTCTTTGAAAACACCCATTGCTGCTCTCCCTGAAGACTGAGTAAGAGAAGCAGCAGTCTTTGAGATTGTAGGTGTTGTTGACTTGACTGGATCGTTGATATTGAAGGGAAATCAAAAATCATGGATAGTGATTTTTACCTGTGCTGTTTTTTCGCGCAGTACATTTGGAATTGATTTTTCTCGCTATCAACTGAAAGTTTTCTGCAAGCACCGAGACGTTTCATTGCTAGACGTGGAAGACCCCCACACCATCTATTCCGACAATGGAACGAATTTCAAAGGAAGTGATAGATTATTCAAAAGCTTAAATTGGGATAAAATCTTAGAATAAGCTAGTATCCACAGGAATCACATGGAAATTTCTTCCGCCATCAGCTCCCTGGTAGGGGAGGATGGTGTGAGCGATTAATAGGAGTCCTGAAAAGAATCCTTCGCAAAGTTTTAGGACGATCATCTCTGAATCATGAAGAAATGATAACAATTTTGTGTGACTGTGAAGCAATAATGAATAATTGTCCATTGAAGTATGTCTTGGAAGATGTTGAAGATTTATCTCCAATCACACCTTAAATGTTTCTCCATGAGATTCGACAAATTGGAGTTCCTGATCTGGTGATTTGCGCATGCACGCAGCAGAAACTAAAACAGACCTTTTTTAACTGAACTTTCAGAACTCGTGATGGACGTTTGAGTGAAACATGTAATCCTTCTCTTCTGTGTTATACATATATATTTTAGTTTAGTGATGTGATTGTAAATTAAATATCTTATTATCTTAGAAGCCTCTCTCTTTCTGTGAGTAGAGAAATGAAATAAAAATATTCCCGGATATGCCTTTGGATTAGAAAGAACATCGATTAAAAGGTTAAGTCTTTTTACCTTTTGTTTTCTAAGAATTATACAGTAGGTGTATTTCTAAGCATACATGCAAAAAACTAGACTTTTTTATTCAAAATTTTCTAAGATATACACAAATTTACATCCACGAGCATTTTGTGAAGCTTGGCTACATAACCCGTTTTGATGTATTGATTCTTCATGATTTAATAGAGAAACATCTGATGGATCACATCTCCATTTGTGACTCGCTCTATAAATGCAACGAAGGGACACCATTTTTTAAACAAGTAGTGACGGGTAATGAAAAATTCACCACTTATGTTAAGCAAAAAGGATCTTGAAAAAAGTGGAATGAACCACCTTTAACCATCCCAGATAAGATCATGCTCTGTGTCTGGTGGGAATGGAAAGGTATCCTCTTTTATGAGCTTTTACTAAACAACATGCTGACAAATTCAGAGAAGTATTGTTCCTAATTAGATGAATTAAAAACAGCAATTGAACAAAAATGTCCAGAAATAGCGAACCAAAAAGGTATTTTGTTTCACCAAAAAGGAATCGTGTTTCATCAAAGCAATGTGCGGTCTCATGCATCTTTGATAACTCGATGAAAGTTGTTGGAGCCTAGTTGGGATGTTCTACTCCTTCCACTACCAGATCCCACACCTTCTGATTTCCACATATTTCTCTCATTACTAAACACCCTTAATGAAAAAAATTTCAACTCTTTAGTCAAAATAAAAAATCATGTAAAAAATTTTTGCTATAAAACTTGAGATTCTAGAAGGACGAAATTTTCAAGTTGCCTGAAAGATGGAAAAAGATTGTAGAACAAAATGACAGTGGCAACTATATAATTATATAAATGTATACTAAAACTGAAATCTGCCGCATTTACAACTTTCCTCCAAAATTAGCGCAAACTTTCTAAAAAACTCAATAGTTTACTTAATATTGCCAAGAAGTGCTGGATACGACAGATAAAATTATCATCTAAAAGAATAATTATCTTTTAGAAGTTTGCATTTCTGAAATAGTAGCAGAACCAAAGTCCCCAGTATCTAGACTGCCATCAAAGTGACAACTATTTCTGGATGCTTGTAGTTATAATGGAAGTACTTGGAAATTTTTAACTAAATGTTCTTTATATTTTTAATGCATTTAAAATGCAATACATCCATGCATTTTATTAAATTATTCACAATTACATACTACTACAATGCTATAAAAATCTAACTACGAATATTTTTTTCTACACTATATTAACAATTCAAACACTCAGTAAATTATTTCATACATCAAAACCATTGTAATTAACGTCTTTGAAATAATTAAGCCGAAACAATACAGTTCATATTTCACTTTTACAAAAATTAAATAAAATTAATATTACTAACAAGAATTAAAAAACTAATTGGAAAAATTAAAGAAATATATAAAGGGGAAGGGCATAATACATCCTTTTCACAAAAGAAACTATTATCACAAATCAAAGTTGATACAAGTTATTCCAATACATAAAATCATTAGAAAACAGATGTTGGTACTGTTCTGTTATCAGGTCCGGGTTCAGAAATGTATGTATATATGCATATATGTATGCATGTACAAATGTATGTGTATACACATATATGCACATACGTGTTCATACATTTCTGAATCCAGTCCTGATAACAGAACATTATCCAGATGTTTAGTATGATTATAAATACATACCTTAGAACGCATAAATTTATATTTTGAAGATGGCAAAAAAGCGTATTCTTCTGCAATTTGTGAAGCATATTTTTTATAATCTGTAAGAAAAAGGAAGGTTATAAACATTCCTTTACAATTAAAAATTAAATTCAATACAAATATAGGAAACTGACTCACCTGCAGATTCCGCACCTAAAATACTAACATCAAAATCTAAAAAATAATGCATATCTTCAGTTCCAAACATTCCTTCCTGTTTATGTTCTTCTGTACAATGTGCTTTCGATGCCATGATCAATGCTTCAACTACTTCCATTAATTTATGATCCTAACATTAAAAAATATTAATTTAAACAATAAGCATATAGTAAAACAATCATAATTATAAATTATTTGCATTACTATGCTCTGTTACTTAAGAATAGATACTTTAAAGTCATTTTCCGTTTTGGTTTGCTCTGAAACCATGATAACTGCTGCAGAAAATGGTAAAGACCTCTAATATGCTAAAACCTCCTAATCTCCTGTGTTCCATTGACATGCATTATCACAAATAAAGGAAGGATAATTAAAACTTTGAAGTGACTATTTTTAAAGTAGCAGACTAGAATTATTAATTTTCCATTTTACTTGCAAAAAATATCTTCAATACTTGCAAAAAATATCTTCAATACTTGCTCATCAATAATCAATCATCACAATACGATATTTTTTTTCTATACGAAACACCCACATCCCTATCTTAAAATCTATTCAGTCAAATATCATCAAATTATGGCCATTAATTGATGAAATGGTAAAAGAATGAGAAAAATTAAGTCATCATCAGCCAAATAGTAGGGTAGAAATTACTTTAATATAATAAAAGATATCAGTATTACATATTAACTCAATAATCTCCAAATTGCTGTGCTAAAATAATATGTTTCAAATACACCACCATTCCCAAATGCCTTGTCAAAGTACATCTTGGGCACAAATTTCTCCCTACTATGTGAGCATTCCTCAGAAAATAACATTTGCTTATTCCTATATGTACAAATTAATACAACAGAGTTTTTATTTAATTTGAATGGCATTTTTCATAAAATGGAGATAAGTCTTTATGTTAATTGAACATTTTATGGATGATTTAGATTCTTCCATTTATGGATGATATAGATCTTCCATTTTATAGAAGATAAATTTGATCATGAAGATGTAGAGACAAGAGGTTTAATGAAACTGAAGAAAATGATTTTTAAAGTAACAGAAAATTGGAATTATTATGAAAAAGAATTATTCTAAAGGGCAAAAGAACGATGTAAAATAACTTATGAACAGCTCATGTCTTCTCAGTTCCCTTTCATAGGCACTTAAAAATTACATCAAGTAAACATGGTTGAAACAGGGTTAGTAGCCAAATTTTAGCTAAAAAAATAAGCACTTTTAAGCACTTTTCAAGCACATTTTAAGGAAATAAATAAGCACCTGTTTAATAACCTACAAGTGCATAACCTTAAAAGAAAAATAAGACTTGACTTGTAATTTAAAATATGAGAAATTCAGTATTTATTAAGAGAGAATTAGCATACTCAAACATAGAAAACAATTATTTAATTTTAAATAACAATTCAATTTACAGTTTACAATGGGGGGAACCTATGCAAAACAAAATTTAATGATGAAATTTCAGTTAAAAATAAAGAAAATAAATAATAATAAACCATATTTATTATATCCACACAAAGTATTTTAACAATAACATAAAAAAGGAAACAAGAAAAAAGCTTTATACTTATTAATGAAAAATATTACTTTTATTTTTGATTTTTCTACTCTCTCTTTTCATTAATCCCTGAATCAAGTTCTCTTAACAGCATTTGTTTTTCACAAATAGTTTTTAACATTTCTTTAGATTTATTTAAAAGATTAAGTCTTTTGTAATTTTTCAGCAACTTCATTTGCTTTATTTTCAAGAACTCTTTCTGAAAGAGTTTTGTTTCGTTTAAGAAAAATGAATTCATTTCACTTTTTTTAATCTTGAATTTCTATCATACAGTTCTCACAAGAGCTTATCAGCTCTAAATACTAAACTAATTTTGCTTATTTCATTAACAATAACCATCTCAGAAAAATCAAAGTTACACAAATAGTTCAGTGATGAACTGATTTCCAGCATGTACTCTTCTTTTATAATTTTGAAATGCCACAAAAGTTGCTTTACTAATTTGTGTAAATCAAAACCAAAAAGTGAAAATGTGGTTCATCACTTTGGTACAGTTCCAAAAAGGGTTTAACTAACTCAGCCACACATGAAAAAAAGGAATTTTACAGGCATTAATTTTCTTTAATTGCATTTCTTATTATTGACGATTTTGAAAGTTATTTTTGCATATTTTTCACGTTAAAAAATCTTCTCAATGTGTCCTGGAGAATCTTTAAATAAATGGTACATTGCTCTTAGAAGGTATATCCCAGCTTGCAGTGGATGCTACTTTACAGAAAGCATTGTTCAAAATATGCAAGCTGCAACGACCAACAGATATGCATTCAATGCTCTCTATTCCAGGGGTTCTCAACCGGTGGTACGCAAGAGAAAAATAAGTGGTACGCAAAGAAGCAAAGTACTTTTAACTACTTAATTCAAAAATTAGAACCCCAACATCCTAATTGAGTTTTTCCTCTAACAATCGTTTATTTATGCGATCTGAGCTTTGATCAAGAGTGGTGCTGATAGTAGTACTTTGTAGTGGTGGTACTACAGGCTTTCAATTTTTGTTTAGATGGTACAGAGGCTGTTCGTACATTTTTTAGACGATTTTGGTAAGCGGTAATAAAAAATCGTTTGCTGCAAAAGAAGTAATTGCAATTGTACTATGTTTTTAAAAGTCAATATTATCATCTTTGGCTTGAAAGTTTTGTTTTTATTCAAAATGGCGAATTTAACAAAGCAGTGGTTCGAAGGCTACATTTACGCTCTTTCCGAAGAGAAATATGCATACTCCGTTATCCAAAAATGATGTGAGAGTCATGGTTTTGTGACATCTAAAGCGTCGATAGGTAATATCATCAACAAGAAAGGAAACAAACGTCAAATTGGAGCCTCAAGTGAGACAAAAATTCCAAACAAGTATCCAAGGAAAAAACGGACATCTTCGACTATTGCAAAGGTACGTTGTTTAATGTTAAAAGAAAATCTCCCTATTCAAAGGACAGTTGCAAAATCATTAAAATGCTCGATGTCCACTGTAAACAAAATGATAAACGTTGATTAAATCTTAAGAAAGCGAAAAAAAAACGCAATGTGCATCGTCTTCTTCCAAAACATATCGTCTACGCAGGAACGCTGCCAGATTCTATATGAGAAACACTTATCCAAGAAAATAGAAAACAATTGTCACAATAGATGAAGCATGGGTGTATTTAAATGATTGTAACAAAAAAAGAGCCATTTATTATCATAAAAGGGAGGAAAGAAATTTAAGTACAGTTCAAAGAATCGAAAGAAAGTTTTCTAAGGCATTCATGATTGTTGCTGGTTTTTCTTATAATGGCAAGTAAAAATAAAGAAAGTGCAAAAACAATGTCAAGATTAACTTCCAAATACTATCAAGGAACATATTTTATCGCCAATTTTTCTGAATGGAAATACCATCGCTTTACCCACAGTGCCATCAATCTGTGAGACTCCATCAGGACAAAGCTAGCAGTCATACATCAAAGTCCACTGTAAAATTTCCTAAAAGAAATGGAACAAAAAACTGGTATTAAGGCCATACCCTTCACTGAACATCCCTACTAAATCTCCCGATGTGTCACCTATGGATTTTTGTGCTTTCGGACTTTTAAAAACTGCCACTTCAAAAGGCATCATTATCCTGGAAATTGCGGTGTCAAAAGATAGTTCAGAATAAGGGATGTCAAATAGAACATTTAAAACACAAGAATTTTATGTAATTTAGTTTTGTGAATACAATGTACTTCGTCTAAAAAATGTGCGAACAGCCTCTGTACGCATTAGTCAAAAGGTTGAGAACCGCTGCTCTATTCCTTTCTCAACTCATATTGGAGGGTTTCATAAAACTTTTAAAGTAAAGTGGGATAACTTCTTAAATTCATCATAAATAAGACTCTGCAAATAAAGTGCTAATCCAAAATGGCAGAGATAAGCACATTTTCTTTCACTACAAGAAAAGTATCTTGCTATAGTACTGTCAGGGAACATCCTTCAAAAATGTTTGCCCTTGTCACTGCTAGATCTATAAGAATAATGATTTGTCACCATTTTCAAACATCACAAAATTTCAGCATCCAAAACATTTTTTGAAGCTCCTACAGCATCATCTAAAAGTATCTGAATTCCACGAAGCACATATAGCACCTGAAGAACTGGAAGGTACAACACTAACAGGATTTGATTTGGGAAAATAGCTTGTTATTTTACCAATAGCTGTATTTTTCCCTTTCAGAAAGTTTTTATGCTTGGCACCTAGAAATAAATAGAATTTATTGAACATTTATTTATTTTCCCACTTATATTAATACTTAAATAATTTAACTCAAATTCTGAACATTTTCTAAATTTTCATTATACGATAGTCTTTCCTTAACTGTTTAGTTTTTTCCCTTAACAGATATTGCAAAGTAATTTACGTAAACATAAGTAAAAAAAAAAGAGGAATATTTCTGAAATCAGAAAAAAATATTTTTTTTTTTTTTTTTTTTTTGCTTTATGGAGTCATCCTTTATAATGTAAAAGCTTAACTAACCAGTATGCTCAGGAATTGCAGACTGCTGGGTATCTGAAAATTCCAGTTAGACAAGTGTAACTGGAAAAAGAAGGAGGGGGTAGACTGTAGTCATCTTTTAGATTTTTCAGCTAAATAATGTTTTTGACATTTAGATATGGGCATTGAATATAATTTTTAAGAACATGTTTGTATATTTTGTAACATCGCAATATTTAGAATACTAAATATCATTGAGATTATATTTAACAGAGTACATAACAAATGTTGCTCTTTATTAAAAAGGGGGGAAAACCATGATCTGTAGGCCAATTACCACTGTAAACATACAGATTGTAAAAATATACTTATAAACATATAAAAATAGCCCAACAAAATTGAAGAATATTCTACACAGCAAGCACAGTAAGACTCTTAAGCATTCATAAACAAATCCTAGATTGGATATCAAAACTAATTATCTTTGCAAAACATTGCAACCATTATTGATATTAACCGTTATTGATATCACAACTGTTATTGGTAATCGTAAGCATTACTAGATTTAAGAGGCACAATATGCGCACCTTAATTCTTCCACACATGATATTATGCAATCAGAAATAATAGATGTTGGTATTCAGAGAATAAATAACTAAATAAAGGAAAACTTACCAATCTGGAGAGTTTTTCACTCTAATTTTGAACAGACTGCATTAAATTTCCGGAACAGAATCACCCTTCGCTTGGGTTGGTAGACTGCAGAATTTTTAGTCTCGCTCAATCCAGATTGAAAAGCGGGGAGAAAAAGAAAAAAAAAAAAAAAAAAGAAAGAAAGAAAGAAAAGAAAAAACCTCCATTGCTTGTTTTGCTACAAATGTAATGGTTTCAATATTTGAGATTTTTTGGAGAAAGTGGAGGATCCGGACTATTAGGATTTTTTAAATCTCAAAGGTTTCAGATTTTAAATTATGTCCAAAGGTGCGTTCTTTTAACATTTTGTGTGCTACCCGTATTTATTAAATATAATATTATTCGCACTTAAACCATAAAATTCTGTTCAAGAGCAATATCGCAAAATAATTTTAAATTCACATATCTTTAGAATTTCCGATACACTGTCTCACGTGCTGGAGATTAAATGTTTCTTCTGTACAACATTGCCATTGCTCACTTTCAAATCCTTGAGTTTGTTAATCAAAATTTCGTTAAAGTTTTACAAAATATGAAATCAATAATAAATCAAATTCCAAATTTGGGCTTCCAGATGCCCATATTCGCAGTAGGATTACGCCATTCCAAATTTGATGGCTCTACGTACCGTTGTTTTATCACAATGCGAGAAACATACACACATTTTATGCAGATTCTTCATTATTTAATTTCTTCAAATAAAATACAGGGCAAAAATATTTGGTGGCAACAGTTTGAAAAGTGAAATGGACATTCAGGGACAAAAAGACCCTTTGACCTTTAAAAAAAAAAAAAAAAAATTGCACAAACCTTGTAAACATCTTACTTTTTTAAAATCCTTCACCAACATTGGTATATAGAACTATGCAAGAAATATATTTGGACACTGAAAGATAACAGTTATTGAGTGTTTGACGTAGTCATTTAATGCACGTAAAAAATTTTAATTTATTAGACATTTAATTAAAAAATGCCATTTTATATTGTTAAATTTATATAAAATTAGTAAGTAATAACAGTTCACTCTGGAAATTTCACAAAGAATGGCATTTTTGTTATGATAATGAAATGAGGTAGAATAATTTTTTTCTTACATTAGTAATTACAGTACTGACTTGGGTTATAAGATAATTAAATTAAAAATTCTATTATGACAATATTCTTTCCCATTTGTTTGTAATAATTTAAAATAAATTTACTTTCTCGCAGAATTTTTTTTTAACATTAAAATATTTCTAAAGTTTAGATGTTAATCTTTGACATGAAATTGATTTTATACATACAATTATTAATATTATATTAATATGTATATATTAAGCCACAATGTTATAAATTTTAAAAAATTTAACATGAGGTTGCAGATTAAATTCAAAGAGACTATGGCTGATCTTTGGAATATGGTAACTGGTAGTTTGGCGACATTTTGGAGGCGATAAAGGTTACTACCTAGGACTTTGGTAATAATGTGAGAAGTACTCAGTTCCGATACGCATTATTTGTGTGGAAATGAGAGATCATGAGATATGTCATGTGACATTAATGGACGAATTACAGTTCTTTAATCGGAAAAAGGGGGGAATTTGAAAACTGTAGTACTATATTATTTTGTATAAGCTTCATTGTGTGTTGCGTGAAATAGTGGAAGTGTGTGTGCCACGTAATGAAGATTCTGAAGATTAGTAAGTTAGTATTTTTAATCATTTGAGGATATTATTTTTATGCATGTGTTCTAAATGTAAGGAGTAAATAAATTAATATGGTATTATTGGAAAATTGTTATTAGCAATGATTTAGTTTAAAGTATTAGGATTGTAACCTAATTTTTATTAATTTAATGTATGTGCTTATTTTATTTTAAGTAGTGTTTTTAATTTAATTATATTTTAATTTAATTATCATGATTTGTGAGTTATATGTTGTAGTATTTTGGAATACGTTTGAGTAGAATACGTTGAGTATTTCATGCATTTTCATGAAATTTTTCTAATTTATGAGAAAAAAGCAGTGTACATGGATATAGTGAAGAGTGTGCGCAATGCCATTTTTGTGCAATTCTGGAATGTTTTTTTAAGTAAAAATAAGTCGACGTGTATATGGTTTAGTGATATTTTGATTAAATGATATGTATTTTGTGAATTTTATGATTGTGGGAATTTGGTATACGTTTAAGTTGAAGTAAACTTGCATGGAAATAATTTAAATATTTGACACTAAGTATTTGTAATGTTTGCGGTATAAATTCGTTGGTGACGTTTATAATATAATAGATAATTTAGAGGTAAAAGTTTTTGGATATTTTATTTATTTTATACGTGGAAATAATCATCCTTGAAAAGGGTATATACTTTTTCGCGATCAGGTAATTTCATATATGTGCTTTTTACCGAGTTTAAAGATTCACAGAATGTTTTTGCATTTTCATGCAAATTTTTGTAATTTATGAGAAAATAGCAGTGTAGATGGATAAAGAGTGTGTGCAATGCCATTTTTGTGCAATTCTGGGATTTTTTTTAAGTAAAAATAAGTTGACGTGTAAATGGTTTATGTGTATGTGCTATTCTGAAAAACACGCAAGGAGTTTGCGATTGTGCACTTTTTCCCAATTTTGCAGTTAATATTTGTCATGATTAAGCAGTTTTGTTACATAAAATTTCTAACATAAGTGTAATTCGGCTAGTAGATTGTTGGAAAAAGTGTTCAGTAAATAAAAATAAAAGAAACATGTCTTTACTTCGTGAAGACAAAATGGCGGCGAAAAAAAAAATAGAGGGTTGCTGTAGCAGAGTTGGTCGCCAAAAAATCGCCAAGTTACCATAATCCAAAGATCAACCGAGACTATTTTGGCATCTTCCCAATAAATAAGGTAGTTTATTTAGATTGGTGCCTATTAAAAAAAAACTTACTTTTCAATACCCATTAATATTAATTTTATTTCTTATAAATTTTCCAACTGTATACTATGGCTTGAATTCCGGGTAATACAGTACAACTATTTAAAAGGCTTTAATTAAGAGCAACTATTGTATGTTAATTTTTAAGCAGCAATAATCACATATATACATATATTTTTTTTTTTTAGTACAAGAATAAAAACTGCAAATCTTAATTTTTTTTTAAAAAGAACATTATATTTTCAGTGCAAGCTTCAGTACCTGTATTAACTTAGAATCTTCAGAAAATTGCTTAAAATGTTTGATGCTTTCTTCTTCATTCTCCTGGGAATGAATATCATATTCTAAACTATACAAAAAGACAAAAGTACAATTACATTAAAAATCAAAGGAAAACATTTCTTAAAGATATCAAATTATTTAGCAAGAATACATGAATGTAATGCTTATAAGAAAAATAATAATAAACTTTTAATATTCACATACACACGGATAGGAAGGGACTCGGTAGTTGTGAAGTGGTGCCTTTTTAAAATTCTATCAAAAAATTAAACCTGTTGCAGGTTAAAAAACAATTCCAACAAGCTTAATTTATTATTACCTGATGATAATAGTCTTATTGAATTAAAGAAACGTACAATTAAAAAAAATCCTATACTATCATTATAGCAATTCATTGATTAAAACAGTTGTATAGCTTGAAATTATTATTAACAACAAAACTGGTTGTGATCGAAAAGATTATTTAAAAAGGGAAACAAGCACTTGCTGATTTACCTGGGTTGAAACTACTAGACATCCCACAAACTAAGAACTCAGAATGCAGAACAGAAGATAGATAGGAAGGAAGCAGCAGCACAAACACACAAGTCTTAAAAGCATCTAAAGTCATACCTATGTGTATTACTACGGTAATCAGCTTATGCTGACCATCACACTCTTGTGAAGGGGACTAAGAAAGAACATTATATGTATTTAGTCATATATACCTTTTTTAATTTAAATCTTAATTTTTTTTATTTTAAACCTTGAAAACAAAAGAGGAAAAACATACAATATACATAATATTTGAAAGGATGATTCTGTAGATTTTTATAATCAATAATAGCCTATGGCTACAAATTTTGAAATGATGTAAAGAAGCAAAAAAATTAAAACAATATTTGGGGGCAGAAAGTTGAAAATTATGTTTAAATCGATAATTTTTCAATCGTGTGATAAAAATGCAGTGGTAAAATACATGAAAACAAGAAAAAAGCAATTAAATATAATAATAATATCATTGAAACTTCAAAAATAAAATTTTGTACTTATTTTTTGTAGCTGCCTTGAAAAGAACTTGAAGCATTTCCATCTTGGCAAAAAACAATTGCTGATTTGCTTCAGTGCACATCATCAGCTAGACAACCTCTCATTCAAAATATAGTAAGTCTTTTTTCCCGGTGTCTTCCAGGCGTGGTGGTAAATATTTTATATGCACATTTCAGTCTCAAAGCGAAATAAACAGTTATCAATTTGTGCATGTGCATACGCTTTATATATCTTGAACTACTGAAAATTTTCTCTTTTAAAACTGGTGCGACTAACAAAAACATGGAACAATAATTAACTAAGTAAGATGTGAGAACTATGGTGCTTTCAATTAAGCTGGGATGCAAGACTTACAATAAAATAAGGTATGGGTGAACTTACAATACATAATCATACGAGTTGAAAGCAGATATGCACAGAAACTAAGTGAAATATGAGCATACACGCTGCAACAGAAACATACATAATTAGCAGACAAAATTACAAACAGTAATTAATCATTATTCGTGTTTAGAATAGACATTGGTCTATACGATTTCAGAGGGTCATTGACATTGTAGTGACAGATTTTGATAACAGGATTATCTATCAATTTTTGATTTTCATAAAAGTTTTTGGCAAGCCGGTAGTAAATGGTTCTTAGTATTTCGACTTCAGTTCCTGGCGAATTCTGTTGTTACGTACGTAGTCATTTGGAGTTTCTTTCTATTAGTGCAACAAGAGTAAGCCCATACAGACACGCATAACATTATATTGGATGCAAGATGGATTTGTAAATGAGTAGCTTAATTTGTAAATCAATAGATACAACGCTATTTCAAGCAATTAAGGGGAAGAGTTCAGCTTTGCGCACTCGAAATATCTTAACAATAGATATAATGTGTGGGGCCCATGTGAGAGAATTACTACGGATCAAACCGAGATAAGGGACCTTACTTGGCCTAGAATATAGACGTACCATAAAATTTTGGATTTTCCTTAATTTTTTTCTTTTTTAGTGTACAGGATGGCTTGAATCTTGTCTACATTTACTAATATGTTCCATTGGTTAAAGTAGACTGAAGGGTACCCCTTGTATTATCGCGTTGTTGTTGTTTCATTTATCGCCAAGTTGTTGTTTCATTTATGGTAACCTGAGTAGTTGAATGTTATGGAAACCCTATTGGTGATTACGTAATCGTTTATGCATTATCCCGGGAAATTTTGAGTTATGATGAGATATTTTGCAAGGGCTTTTGTGGTGTGTGTTGCTTAGTGCATTGCTTGTTTCATTGTTTAGACGATACAATGGCTGAATGCAGTAAGGTTAATTTGAAGTTTCTGTACGATTTGGAACGAAAGAGGAAAAGTGCATTAATTGACTGGTGTGTACATGAAGGTTTACTTAGTAGCCATTTTCCGGACAGTCCGGAAACTACATAGTATATTTTTTACTCTTATTTTTGTGATCTTACGTGGCGACGCCTATATACGGATTCAAGTTCAGATACTTTTAGAAAGTTTTTAGATGCTGTTAAGGAATTATGTGTGCCACAGACTAAACACGAAGGAACTTCTAAATAGGGTAAGTGGATATTGGCATTTTGTAGTGCTTAAATGCATAACATGTTTTTCCTTTTTTACGTTATTTTACTGTTTAATTTCAAATGTAGTTTATTGAGATTATGTATTTTTGTTTGCCTCTACAGTAGAAATGGGTGCTCCTTTGACTTTTAAGTGAAAATATATCAATGTGTACATGGACAAAGTCAAAGGAGCACGCAATGCCAAGTTTGTGCAAATTTCTGATGTTTTTTTGAAGTGCAAATAGGCCGACATGTACATAGATATAGTCAAGAGAGTGAGCAATGCATAGTTTGTGCAATTCTGTGACGTTTTTTGAAGTGAAAATAGATCAATGTGTACATGGATACCGAGTTTGTGCAATTCTTTGACTTGTTATTTCGTCTTTGTGTAGGACCGATTTTTGGTGCTAAAATCAAAACAAAAATAAATAATGGTAGCCAAGTATCAGGGAAGTATTGCCTCTCGAGGATTATTTTTGTGAATATAAATACTGTCTTTTTCAGGAAGTTCTTTATTAATGTAATGGTAACTTTGCCGAAGCCAGGACTTTTCTTTTTTTTCAGCTGCTTGATGTAACTAAAGACTTCCGATGGTAAGACTAGAATAATGTTGTCTGTGCTTGGATTTGGAGTGTAAGTGAAGTGAAAGCTGTTGTTGTGTCATGACTGTTCTACGTGCGAAACTGAGACTTCAGTAGCTGGGCTAAAAGTTCTGCTTTCTCAGTATTGGTGTAGTGGATCCTTTGGAGCCCTTTAAGAGGCGAAATTTTATTGTGGCATTTTGTATACCTTTGCATTGGTTTCCACAGCGAGTTAAGGTAGTTCATCCAGTCGAGTTCTGCTTGTTTATTTGTATGAAACTTGACAGCATTGTTCAGTTGATTTACCCTCTGCTTGTCTACAGGATTTCGTGTACACTGAAAATGCCTCCTTGTTGCACTGTGCTAATTAATATGTTGCTGGAGCTCTTTAGATCTACAGTGTCTTTTATTTGGCACTTCCTTTTTTGCTTGATCGTACTCCTTCTTGGCAGCATCAGCAAACTTCTTGATTAAACTTTCAATGTTATTCCACGAATGTATCACTGGAAGGTATAATGCCTGCTGTTTTGAGCTTTGGCATACAAGTGCCAGTCAGTTGTAAAAACTCTAGTGTCTGGTGTGATATAACTACAGATACCAAGAATTATTATGACCAGATTGTAGTGAGAAAAAAATTCATCCAGCACAGAAATATCCAGCGGATCACTGAGCAGGAAGAAATCAATAATTCCCATAGAACCAGCAGTATGCCATGTTGGAGGTTTTGGAGCTGCTATGTGTAATGCCACCGAGTTGACCAATTTTAAAATTATGCATCGCATGGGGTTTGAGTTGTATCAATTCCACACACGGTGTTGTGCGTTTAAATCTCCGCCTAAAGTAACATAGTTACTAAGTAAGAATAGAATGTTTAAGTCGGCAGCGAGACATTATTATGTGAGGGTGGCATGTAGATGGAAATAAAAGTGTATGTAATGGTAGTGTTTGTTGTGACTGAAATAGCTGAGGCCTTAACGACTGAAAGCTGTGGAACTGTGTAATGGGAAATGTAACATTTCACAAGGAGTGCTGTTCCTCCTCTGGGCCTGCTTCCATGTGTACCTCTATTAAAACTTGTATATAGTATAATTGGGTACATAGATAGGACTATCTAGGCCAAGTTTGTACTCTTGTAGGAACATATTGGGATTGTACTCATTTAAAAAACCATGGAGTTAATTAATTTACAGGATAATCCATTTGCTTTCCATGTAATCACATTGATAAACTTGTATACATTACTATACATGATTTACATTCATATGGGAACTAAAAATTTCTTTGAACAATGCAAACAGAAACAATTTATCCATGATATTTACAGTAGCTTGAAGCTCTGGTAGTTTATCAGTAATTTTCTTAAAGATATTATACAGAGAAAAACCTTTAACCCGTAACAGGGGAGGTCAAATATTAGGACGTAACCGAGAATGTGCGGTCCCAGAGACCACGTCTCTTTATGATTTAAACAAGTTTTATTCAAAACATTACAATTTTATTTTACCCATACAATCTAAACACTTATCTTCAAACATTATTTTTGCTTTGTGTAGTGGTGATTTTTGTACCAAAAATCAGTGCTACACAAAGCTAAAATAACAAGACAAAGAATTGCACAAACTCGGTATCCATGTACTGCCAAAAATCACCAAGGGGTATCCATAAATATATTTTTACCTATCAAGACTTCACAGTTAAAAAAATTATATGGGTAGAGTAGACTTTAAGGTACCCCTTGTATTATGACAAAGTTGTTGTTTGATTTATCGCCAAGTTGTTGTTTCATTTATGGTAGCCTGAGTAGTTGAATGTTATGGAAACCCTATTGTGACGTAATAGTGTGCACGATTCTGGGAAATTTTGAATCATAGGATGTTTTGTAAGCGTTTTTGTGGTGTGTATGGTGGTTTGATTCTTTAGAAGGTAGAATGGCCGAATGTAGTAAGATTAATTTGAAGTTTCTGTACGATTTGGAGCGAAAGGGGAAAAGAGCTTTAATTGACTGGTGTGTAAATGGTTTACTTTGTAGCCATTATAGGTGTCCTGTATGTAGGAAGGATATGCATCTAGTCGAATGTAAAAACCGTTTAGATGGATTTGAATGGGTTTGTAGGAAGAAAGGTTCAGATGGTCCTATGTGAAGCGTTCGATCGGAAAGAGTACCTGGTTTGAAAAATGTCATTTGAGTATGATTGATATTTTGATTTTTACGTGGCTCTGGGTGTACGAAGCGAACTTGAAAATCATGGTAAGTGAATATTTGCTTTTGGTAGTGCTTAAATGTATAACATGTTTTTCCTTTTTTATGTTATTTTATTGTTTAGTTTAAAATGTATTTTATTGAGATTATGTATTTTTTGTTTGCCTATATTGTAGAATTTGGTGCTCCTTTGACTTTTTAAGTGAAAATATATCGATGTGTACATGGACGAAGTAAAGGGAATGTGCAATGCAAGTTTGTGCAATTCTGTGATTTTTTTTTAAGTGAAAATAGGTCGACGTGTACATGGATAAAGTTAAAAGAGTGCGCAATGCCATTTTTGTGCAATTCGGGGATTTTTCTTAAAGTGAAAATAGGTTGACATGTACAGGGATAAAGTCAAAGGAGTGCACAATGCCATTTTTGTGCAATTCAGGGATTTTTTAAGTGAAAATAAGTCAATGTCTACATGGATACCGAGTTTGTGCAATTGTTTTGTCTTGTTATTTTTGGCTTTGTGTAGTGGCGATTTTCGGCGCAAAAATCGCCACTTCGCAAGCCAAAATAACGAGTCAAAGAATTGCACAAAATCGGTATCCATGCACCGCGAAAAATCGCCAAGGGGTACCCTAATCTATACTTTTACTGAATTAAATTATTTTTATCATCAATTACCACACAGTACGATGATTTCAGCTTTGAGAATACAATAACAAATACTTACTCATGGAAAAAAATGGCATATGACATTGCATCTTTATGTTGAATTTCATTAATATGAGAATCCATGTGATTAAACATATTCTGTAGGTGACTGAATGTGTGATATTTGCGTGAGGGATCTGTATATTTTGATTTCAGGATATCCCACCATTTTTCAGAAATTCCTTTCTCAATGTTTGCTGTTAAACTCATCCATCGATCGTGCAGAGGTGATGTTGCTTCACTTTCATCAGTATCCATAGAAAGATGATTTTATTCTTAGGCAACAGAAATATATGGCCCTAGATAGAAAATGTAAAATTAAGATAAATAGCACTTTTTCCCCTTAATAAGTAATATAGCCAAAGATAAAAAGAAAATACAGGAAGAATTTTAATATCTAACATTCTGCATAAATATTTTTAAAAACTTTTATGGTGCATAGAAACATCCCTTTTTTTAATATCGATACATAATTAGTCACATTTCTTCTCCAGAAGCCTTTCTGATTTTTTGCACCCTTCACTAAAAACACTAAAAATCACTAAAAACCACGTTTACAAAATATCACGCTTACGGCTCGGCTGGTTCTTTTCCGAAGCGCCAACGGGTTCTCTGCGGATGAAAACCCCTTTTTCATTTTAGATAGCTTACATCATTCAATTATTTAAAAGTCTTATTAGTATATGTACAACAAGGTTTTTGAAATGTTTGTTGCCTCTCCATATTGTTTAGGATATCATTATTTGCAACATAATGACAACGGTTTAATAATTAGGTTCTATTAAAACGCACAAACGTTACAAAATTTAAATCCTCTGCAAACTCATTTCTGAAATTAAACGACGAGAAAAAAATATTTATTCTTCCATTTCAAAATGTTGATATCAGTGACCGATATCTATAATTACATATAAATAAAAATTCTTGAACGCAATGTAACCGATAAACTTTTCCGTAATGAAAATACTTTAGCTTCCTCTTAAAGTACTATATTTAAGGATTACAAGAAAACTCAGCGCGTCTTTAATTCAAAAATCACCCTGCAATTTCGCGCGCATCTTTACTGCGATAAACTGAAAATGAAATTACTTACAAATAAACTGAAATCTGTCTCAATTTATTTTAATAGAATGATTATTAAAATTTTAATCATAGGATACACACATACAGAAAAATTTACACTATCAACCACCATTGGCGTAAATCTACTCTTCAAGCGTACGCACCTTTGCCGCTTCTTCTAGTCTTCACATGACTCACGTTTCAATATAAATTAAGGCTACTATCTCTAGTAGCTCTAATATAAATGCCTGGCCCAACCCACCACCCCTTTTCTTATTGGTTACCATTTATGATGTCAGGCTTACCTTTTTTTTTTTTTTTTTTGCTAAAAATAGCGACCTGTCACTTGACAATAAGATCTTGCTTTATAAATCAATAATAAGGCCATCCTCATGCTGGACGTGGCGAAAGCTTTCGACCGCGTCTGACATGAGGGGCTGATTTACAAGCTTATTAATTTCAACTTCGAAAGGGGAATGATTGAGCTCATTACTTCATTCATCACAAATAGAAGCTTTTCTGTCTCCATCGGAAAAGACGTCTCTGACACTAGAAAAATTAATGCTAGTATACCACAGGGCAGCATTTTAGGACCAATTTTATATTTATTATATGTTGCAGACTTTCCGCGCTAACACTTGGATAAAAATAACCCTTTAGGATGTTATGCAGACGACACAGCTTTAGCTGGGAAGTCTGCTAACGCAAATCATGCTTTAAAGAAGCTGCAGGACATTATGCCCAATATTGAATCCTGGTGTACTAAATGGAGGATATCGATCAATGCGCAAAAGTCGCAACTACTTGTCATCAGGAGAAAACATATGTGGCGTTCCGACAGATACTTCAACTTATATTCATGAGATGGCGCCACGTGTAAAATCCAGTAGTTCTAAATCGGAGCAGCAAAGCGACGTCTTTACTCACTCAGACAACTGTACGCGGCGGTAGCATGAACTGTGTTCCGAGGTGTGGTTTTTTATGACGCTCTGAATGATTTCAACGCCTAAGCCACGTGCTCAGCATTCGAAAATAAAAAATTCTAAAAGCAAAATCATGTAAAACATAATGATATAAATTAAATGTATATAACAAATATATAAAGCTCTATAATGAATAATGATCATAACCGTATAATAAATGTGAACACACGTTATATCACGGTAAATAACACTGCTGTGAAATGAAGAATATTTCATTAGAAATTTACCTTTTATATATATTTGATAACAAAATGTTATGAAAACAGGTTATGCAACTTAAGAAACAAGTTATATGAAATGCCCGTTAAGTTACTGCAATATCATGACACCGTAAATAAGCATATCATAAGACATATTACCAAGATAAATATAATTTGTTCCTTCTTTTACATCAATAATAAGTTTTTCTTTAAAAATTTTAGCACTAAATGCCAAAACAAATTTATTATCGGTGCCTTTGATGCAAGGTCACACGAAGATAAACTTGATTTAGCAAATTTCTGAAAACATTAAAATCAAAAGTGTTAAATTACAGCAACATCTATTAAACTATTTTTTTAAGCAATTGCCTGGTAAATTTTAACTTTTATATAAAAACTGAATTAAATTACAAAATAAGTGACTAAGCTTGTACAGTATTCATGTTCATACATTGGAAATAAATTGCACTTAAATGAAAGAGCTGGAAATATAGTCTGCATGATGCATAAAATATGATCAAATCTATTTGTTAAATATTTGAATGAATGCTTACTTTCAGGGATGTAGCTAGAGAGGGACAGTTTTATATATCACTAGCGGGCAAGCCCGCTACATGAGGGAAGGGATGCTTTCGTGGAGCGCCCGCTTTATTCACGTTAGGTCACTTGATTTACGTATGCAATCACAAGATATACGCTAGCTCGCATGATTGCTAGCGGGTAAGCCCACCATTTGAGCGGCCTGAAGCCTGCTTTCATTGGCCTTTATTCGAAAGTTGGACCGAACTACCAGTGAAGCCCGCTTTCATTCGACGGGATTTGAAAATTTGAAGCAAACTACCAGTGTTCAGCGATTTTTTTCCTGGGCTGCGCCCCGCTGTATTCACATATGCATCCACAATTTCTGGACAGTACGCCGGGATTCGAAAGTTGGACCGAACTACCAGTATTCAGCGATTTTACCCGGGCTGCACCCGCTTTATTGACGTTATGCATTCACAAGATACTGCCAACATGTTACACATGCGGAAAATCACGAAAACACCTATGCAGTCAGCCCGCTTGCTGGGATTCGAAAATGGACCGAACTACCAGAGTTTAGCGCTTTATTCACGTATGCATACAGAAGATAGTGCTTAAACGATACACATGTGTAAAATCAAGAAAACACCCATGGAGTCAGCCCGTTCGCCGGGATCGAAAGTTGGACCGAACTACCAGTGTTCATCAGGTTTTGCACGAATATGCATCCAGAAGAAGACACTGCATACACGATACACATGCAGATTTTTATATATCATTCTAAAAAATAACTTAAGATTGATTTGCAACATTTTGTATAAATAAAGATATTTTTACCAAAGAATTAATATTATTTTCAGACTTTTTACTGTCGCACTAAATGTAGAAGCTGGACAATTTGAATATTTCATCTAGCCTCTTCATTTAATGATTTAATGTATTTTTACTCCTCCGAAATATTTTAATGACAAATTTATTCATTCATTTACAATGTTTATCAGATAATATCAAATCAATATGTATATCTGGTGTCACCAAAGGTTTTATTATCCTTTAGCATTTTTTATATGTACTATAATTTTCTTAGTAAAAGTGCTGTATGCAAACAATTACATACTGGCAATGAAAATTTTGAGATTGTGCCAGTAAAAAAAAAAAAAAAAAAAAAATCGCTAAAATCTTCTTAGCACTGATGAGGCATCCAATATGCATATATTTTCGATGAGGCTTATAGTTACAGGTATCAACACTGCATAGAATCGACACCAATTCTAGTTACGAACATATAAGCAACACGATAAAATCAAATTTTTATAATGACAAGAGGTAAGAGACAATAGGTAAGAGAATTAATGCATATTTGCCCCAGAAATACAATTAAGATAGAATATGTTTGAGATAATAAATATGGTTGCATCTTTAAATAACTATGCAAAATCTTATTTCTTGCAACTAAAAGGCTGTGTATTCATGTATTATTCTTATTCTACTAAATGTTCTACACATTCTTATTCTACTAAATAAAAGCTTGTTATAAATAAAACAGGAATACATAAACAATCTAATAAATTACTGAACTGATCCAAATCCACTGTCCTTGCTTTTATTTGCTAACCTGTATATCTGTATACACATGTCTGTGCACGCTGTTTAATTTACTCCAAAGTTATTTAGTTATATGCAATCATATTTTGAATAATGGCTGAGAAATGAAATTACTTAAAAGTCTCTTCCCTATCAATATTTATCACTGAACAAATACTTGGGTGTTTTACATTACAGAACAACAGATTTTCTCGAAAAAGATACATGTGCCCATTTGATACTTCAAGTGAGAAAAAATACTTTCATCATTAGCTAATTTTCACCATGGATAAATTTTTTTAAGCTACTTTAAAAACTTTTTATTACTAATACTTACTTCAAAACGAACACTGCTATAAAAGATAAGAAAAAACATTTAAAAGCTCAGCGAGTAACAATGGTATGTATATCATTTTATAAGAAATTGTTTGGTGCATGCTATTCTATAGTGGAAAAGATTTGATATCTGTAATACTTTTTATACTATTACTCATACTAGATCATCATACCTATTTTCTGAACTGGAAATTTTTTATGCTAACTATCCTGAACCACTGTAAACAGTTCTAAATAGTTTAACAGGAAATGACTCACACACAGAAATTTCAACATTACTAGAATATGAAATTCAAAGTTCATCATTAACGTTAAAATAATTAACTTTTACTTTTATATGTGTCATTCTATAAATTTTCATTTAAATCATTGCTAACATAAACTGAAACACAATTTAAATTTCTGCAGGTAAAATATGCATGAAAGCATAATTGTATATGTATATTAATAATATTTAAGAGATTAATGAGCTATAATGATTTATACTTCAATACACAAATATGCATGTTTACTTTCGAAGAATACACATACACGTTTATATGTATGATACACGAGAAAGAAATTTTGCATATATAAAGAAAACTTTTCTTACGAGAAAAAATGTAATCAGTTTTTT